TCAAAAGGAGTTTAGAAGAAAGAAAAAGAGCGAGAGAACAACAAGAGTCATGGTATCAAAACTGGTTCTCTACCTCTCCTTGGCTCACCACCCTGTTGCCTAGTATACTAGGACCCTTTGTTGGCATTCTTTTGCTTCTCTCGTTTGGCCCCTGGGCCTTTAACCGTCTTACAAATTTTGTTAAGAACCAGGTTGATTCTGCCATCAAGAAGCTGGTCGAAGTTCATTACCATCAGCTGAAAATTGAAGAAGATCCAGAAGTGATTCCACAGGAGACTGACACAGCTGTCAGCTCCCCTGCCTCCCCCTACGGTCGACCGCTAGACTTCCACACTCTCCAGAAGGGTTCCTGGTATGCCTGGCTCTGCCCTCGTTTCTCTCGCTAGGGAGCCTGGCCTCTTGATCACCTCAACAAAAATTGGATTTTTCCTAAACCAAGGCTGCCCTTGATGTGGCCCGCTAACACTGGGGAGCCTTCCTTTATGACAATATTACACCCCAAACACTTGAACATTTAAAAGGGACTAGGATGGCTGTGAGTTAGCCCAATGACGGGATTATTGTAGGTCCACTTCCCAGGGGCCCACCCAATGCAGCTGGAAAGGAGTGCATGGTGCTGGGAGTAGGTGCAGCCTACATGGCCTAAGACAGGGCCCTCACCCTCCTTTCACCCACATCAGAGTCCCTTGACGTTTCCCATCGTCGACAGCCTAAAGCCTTCGACCATCGACATGACTCATCTTACATCAATGTTTTGGGGTGGTGAACTTGTCCAAGACCCCCCATAATTAGACTTCCAAATTCAAAATTCACATAGTTGAGATTGATCATAAGACGCCTTCTCTAACTAAACAGAGAAGGGGGAGATGCCAGAAGCCAGGACCCTCGCCCTTATCCTCACCCCCTACCTTTCCCCACCTGCACAATGTCCCATGCAGCTTGGCAACCGCAAGATCCTGCTTGGCAGGCAGTGTACCGTATCTTCTGAGGAAAGCAGGGAGACCATAACTCAAAGCAGTGTACCATATCTTCTGAAGAATAGCAGGTATATCATAATTCAAAGCAGTGTACCGTGTAGACCATGAAATGTTTCAGGGCACAGGCCATGAAGATTCTGTACTTTTCCACCACCTGGCCCCTCTTACCCCCTCCCCTTGTAAAGCATACTATAAAAAGGGGCTTCACATTTAAATACACGACTCTTGACAAGCAATTGCTTCCTTGAGTCCTTTCTCTCTCTCACCCATTCTTTTTTCAGGTTGTGGTCCTCCTTGCCCCCATGAATAACTAAGACCCGCAGGTCAGGTCACTTAAACACACATCACATAGAACAAAAATAAATCTTAAAAAAAAAGCAAAAGGAAGAGATCTGTGGAGGTATCTTAGTTGGTAGAGTGCTTTCCTAGCATGCACAGGGCCCAGGTTTGAGCCTGCATACACCTGACATCAGGATTCATGTTCACCCTCTGAGCACCCAGGAAATGCAGTGGGAGAATCAGAAGTTCAAGGTACACAGAGTTTGTGACTAGCCTGAGTTATATGAGACCCTATCTCAAAAACCAAACCAAAATCAAATGGGGATCCAGGTGTGGTACTGCACACATCTGTAACTTCAGCTACCTGGGAGGCTGAGATAGGACCTGGAGCTCCAGGTCAGCTTTGGCAATTTAGAGAGCTCTTGCCTCAACAGAAACTTTAAACAAATGTTTGTAGCTCAGTGCTAGAGAACTCTAGTATGTATAGGCTCCATGCTCTATCCATAGCATTGCAAAAAACAAGGAACTGAAGAGATGGGTCAGTGGTTAAGAGCACTGGCTGCTCTTTTAAAGGATTTGGGTTACATTTCTCAGCATCCACAAGGTGGCTCAAAACCATCTGTAACTTCAGTTCCGGGAGATCTTGCCTCTGAGAGCCTCAGGCATGCAAATGGCACACAGATGATACACATGTGGCAAAATAATCGTGTGTGTGTGTGATTAAAATTAAATAAAAATACAGAGTAGAAAGATAGCTCAGTAATTAAGAATGCTTACTGCTGAGGACCTGGCACAGGGCCTCCTTCCTATCAGTAGCCAGCACATATATGATGAGTTATTACCTGTAACTCCAATTCCATGGGCTCTGACAACTTCTGGCCTCTGTGGCATCCTATATGCATGTAGTACATATAAACTATGCATACACACAAATATATGTAAAAAGAAATATCTTTACAAAAATCAAACAAAAGCAAAACAAAACATAAAAATAAAAAGAAGGAGGCTATGGGGCTGGAGAGATGGCTCAGTGGTTAAGAGCACTGACTGATCTTCCAAAGGTCCTGAGTTCAATTCCCAGCAACCACATGGTGGTTCACAACCATTTGTAATGGGATACATTGCCCTCTTCTGTGTGTCTGTAGACAGTAAGCAACAATGTGCTCACATACATAAATAAATCTTAAAAAAGAGCTTTTTAGCCGGGCGGTGGTGGCGCACGCCTTTAATCCCAGCACTTGGGAGGCAGAGGCAGGTGGATTTCTGAGTTCGAGGCCAGCCTGGTCTACAGAGTGAGTTCCAGGACAGCCAGGGCTACACAGAGAAACCCTGTCTCAAAAAAAAAAAAAAGAGTTTTTTAAAAAGGGCTGGGCTCAGTGTTTAAGAGCACTGACTGCTCTTCCAGAGGTCCTGAGTTCAATTCCCAGCAACCACATAGTGGCTCACAACCATCTGTAATAAGATCTGATGTTTTCTTCTGGTGTGTCTGAAGACAGCGACAATATACTCACATAAAATAAATAAATAAATACATACATACATACATACATACATACATCTAAAAAGGGGGGAGGCTGGAGAGATGGTTCAGTGGTAAAGAACACTTGCTCTTGCAGAGGACCTCAGTTCACATTCCAGCAGTCACAGGACAACTTACAGCTATTTGTGACTCTAGTTACAGGAGATCCAATGCTCTCCTCTGGTCTCTGAAATCACCAAGTACACACATAGTACACAAACATATATGCAGACAAAACATTTATATGAATAAAATAAACAGACGTAAATCTTAAATAAGAATGTTAGGAAGGGGCACAGTATAAGTTTTCATCTATCATCATCATTATTTTGTTTTCTGAGACAGGGTTCTGTTCCCAACACACACACACACACACACACACACACACACACACACACACACACACAGCAGCAGCAGCAGCAGCAGCAGCAGCAGCAGCAGCAGGTCACCACTGTCTGTAATTCCATTCCCAGGGGATCTGACACCCACAAACCAAGAGAGAAAGAGTGAGAGCTTGCTGCTCTTCCTGAGGCCCTGAATTCGGTTCCCAGTACTCACATCAAGCAGCTCCAACTCCAGGGGCAGTCAACACCTCTGGCCTCTGTCAACAACTGCACTCCAGTGCATAGACCCATGCACAGACACATACAGATAATTTAAAAAATCAATCTTAAAAAAGAGTCGGGCTGGAGAGGTGGCTCAGTGGTTAAGAGCACTGACTGCTCTTCCAGAGGTCCTGAGTTCAATTCCCAGCAACCACATGGTGGCTCACACCCATCCGTAATGGAATCCAATGTCCTCTTCTGGTGTGTCTCACAGCTACAGTATGGTCATATAAAAGATAAAAAAAATAAAAAAAAGAAAGTGTCCCCATGTATATACTAAAGAGAGGTGATTAAATATAATCGCAGGGCTGAATTTGGTGGCAAAGATCTATAATTTCAGTTAAGTTGGGAAGCAAAGAATGGAAAATTCAAGGCCAAGCCAAGGAAACTTAAGTGAGACTCTCTCAAATTAAACATGAACAGGGAAACACGCATAAAAAATGCAAAGTAGGAATCCTGTATCTGGCAACAAAGAAGATGCTCCAATTCCAGCAACTTTTTGTGTGCCACCATAGTGAGCTGAAATATAAAATATATCCTCAGGATGGAACTCAGATTGGATTGGTAGCAGATATCTTACCCACTGAGGCATCTCGCTGGTTCTATTTTTAGATAAATATATAAAGTATTTTTCAATTTTTTTTTTTCGAGACAGGGTTTCTCTGTATAGTCCTGGCTGTCCTGGAACTCACTCTATAGACCAGGTTGGCCTCAAACTCAGAAATCCACCTGCCTCTGCCTCCTAAGTGTTGGGATTAAAGGCATGCTCCACCACTGCCCGGCTCAAATGTTTTTTTAAGATAGGGTTTCCCTGAGTAGCCTGGGACTTAACTATGTATATACTAGGCTGGTCTTGAATTCAGAGATACTTCTACCTCAGCTCTCTATACCTGGCAAAATAAAGTTATTTTTTTAAAGTACATGGAATTGAAGCTACATCAGCTAGAGATCTGCATCTCAGCTCTGTATATTTACTTTCTGTCTTTCATTTTCATTTTCTCTTCCCTCATCTCTGACATCTCCCCTTTTATCACCTCCCCTTTTCCCGCTCAGTTTTTCTTCTCTCCAGGCTTTTAAATATTTATTTTGGGTGCTGGGAATCAAATATGTGCGCTAAAAAAAAATCTACTATGAAACTATGAAAAAAAACCATGTTTGTGAATCTTGAAGTTTCGGTTGCTCATTTTACTAAGCTTCACATTTTACTATGGAAAAATGTAAATTCAAAATAAGTAAGTAGGAGTCCTCCCGCTATCGAACGGCACAAACCGGAAAAGACGGCACAAACAGGAAAAGACCGTTCAAATCCTAACTTCTGTGTATTGTGCCGGTGAAGCGGTTTACAGGGGTCATAGGTCATGCGGCCTCAGAAATTAATTTTTTAGTGGAGAAAAATCTGCCGCTCTTAGCACAGCAACTAGAACGGACCCGCGCAGTTGATGGGCGGGACTGACAGTTGGATTGACCAATCACCTTCCATTTATCCAGCCTGCTGTTGGGTGAACCAATCAAAAACATTGAATGAAGTAGTCACCCTGAGATCAAAGGATCGAGTAGGACAGCCCGTCCTTTCCGTTTTTTTTTCTTCAACTTCCGGTAGACTCTGGTTGGGTCCGGCGGCACTGCAAGTCACCAGTGTGCGACTGGCATTTTTTGTTTCCGGCCCATGGGGCCAGAGTGGGCTGGGCTGCTGTCCGAAGCGGGTGCCGGCAGCCCTTCCGCCGTCATGTCAGACACGGACAGCGATGAAGATTCTGGTGAAGGCCCATTTTCTTTAACTGGGTTCCTGTTCGGCAACATCAATGGAGCAGGGCAGCTGGAAGGCGAAAGCGTCTTGGACGATGTGAGGCGTGGGCCTGGGGCGGAGGGTGGTCTGGCTAGGGAGAACCAGCGGCAGAGTGGAGGCTGTTTAGGAGCCGGTAATAGAAGACGTTGTAGCTCATTCTGGGGGCACAGAGGATTCTCCCCTTCTCTTGGGTCTCGGGAATAGTGGAGAGCGAGAGGGCTCAACTTTGAGGAAGAGTGAAGAGACGAGGAAAATGGTTAAGTGCCAGTCACTGATGCAGAGGGGTTTGCTTTGAAAGTAACATTCTCCTTGTCTGGTAGGAAAAATAATAATTAACTCTAGTAAGGTTATCAGAACCGCTACTGTGTAAGACCTTCTTAAAGATTCTTGGAACTCTTGTTTTCTGGCTTTTGCTGATCCGAATGTCTCCAAAACCAGGACTATGGATGGAACGTGGGTTGTTTGGATCTGATCTATATGGAATTTAGTAGATTTCCTATACAGTTCGTTCGTTCGCGCTCTCTCTCTCTCTCTCTGTCTCTCTTTCTTTCTCTCTGTCTCCCTCTTTCCTTCCTTCCTTCCTTCCTTCCTTCCTTCCTTCCTTCCTTTCTTTCTGTTTTTTTTTTTTTTTCGAGACAGGATTTCTCTGTGTAGCCCTGGCTGTCCTGGAACTCACTCTGTAGACCAGCCTAGCCTCGAACTGAGAAATCCACCTGCCTCTGCCTCCCAAGTGCTGGGATTAAAGGTGTGCGTCACCACTGCCCGGCTCCTATACAATTCTTAAATGTGATATTTCTTTGAGCACATCATGGAATCATTCTTAGATGGATTTGTGACTTTGTTATGAGCAAGGGAAATAAACCTTGTGTAGGACCTTCAGGTTTACTTGTTACTGTCAACTCTCATGCTGTCCCTTTTTCAGGAGTGCAAGAAGCATCTTGCAGGCTTGGGAGCTTTGGGTCTTGGCAGCCTGATCACTGAACTCACAGCAAATGAAGAATTGTCTGGGACTGATGGTAACCTGATAAATGATGAAGGTGAAGTGTGGCCCATGGGGAGGACAGTGTGGGTTGGGGGAGGAGATAAGCTATTGTACACTTACTTTTAAATGGGGATTATCTAAGGAAGTGATAATTACTTGCTTTTTCTTGAGACCTCTCCCTTTTTACCCATAGGATGGGTTACGAGTAGAGAAGATGCTGTAGACTATTCAGACATCAACGAGGTGGCAGAAGATGAAAGTAGAAGATATCAGCAGACAATGGGGAGCTTGCAACCCCTTTGCCACACAGGTGATTCTCTCTCTCTTTCTTGTTTTCTAGCAATGGGGTATCTCAACATAGCCCTGCCTATCCTGGAACTCACTATGCATGCCAGATGGTCTCAAACTCATAGAGATCCATCTGCCTCTGTTTCCCAAGTGCTGAGATTAGACATGTTCCCCACTATGCCTGGCATTCTTTAATGTTGTAAAATTGGTAGTGTAGTGCATTTTCTTCCTGATTAAGTCTGGGGCTCTGACTTCTGTATTTGATTTCTGCCATTGTTGTTGCCTGCCAAGAACAATGTTTGGCGTCTGCCTCTAGAGTGTTGGGATTAAAGTCTTGTACAACCACACTCTGCTTTTATTTTTTTTTTAATCTTTTAGGCCTCAAAATTGGTTAAGTAACTGAGGTTAGTTTTGAACTCCTTATAATACCTCTACCTATCAAGTTTTGGCATTATAGGCATGTACCACCATGCTTAACATGGAAGAGATTTTATTATTTCTTTTTTTGTTTCATATTTATAATTTTTATTAGTTTAGTGTTTAAAAAACAACAGTAACATGTAGTAGGAATGTTCAAAGTATTGTGTAAAAAGAAATAAAACTTTATTAGGGAAGATATTATATGGACAGTCAGGTTGCAGTGCTCGGTGAAAGTCAAACTTTTTTTTTTTTGAGACAAGGTATCTGTGGTGGTTTCAATAAGAATGACCTCCATAGTCTCGTATATTTGAATGCTTAGTTACCAGGGAGTGGCAGTATTTGAGATGGATTAGAAGAATTAGGAGGTATGGACTTGTTGGGGGAAGTATGTTGCTGGGGATGGGCTTTGAGGTTTCAAAAAGCTCATACCATGCCCAGTCTCTCTCTGTCTCATAACTGAGGATCAGGATGAAAACCTTTCAGCTACTTCACCAGTATTGTGTCTGCCTGTGTGCCACCATGCTCCCTGCCATGATGATAGTGGTCTAAGCCCCTAAAGCTGTAAGCAAGCTCTCTAAATACTTTCTTTTATAAGAGTTGCCTTGGTCATGGTATCTCATCACAACAATAGAACAGTGGCTAACACAGTCTCATAATGTAGCTCTGGCTAGCCTGGGACTAACCATGTAGACCAGGAAGTATTTGACCTTGAAATTTTGTATTTTGTTTTAAGAAATAGGAGATGTACTGCTAAGTAGCAAAAGCCAAGGATAAAACACAATTTGTAGTTTCTTTATGTATACATTATTTGAAATTTGATGCCATAACAAGTTAGTAGCCAGCCTGACTGTAAAATAGTATGATAGAATGGAACGAATGGATTTCAGGGTCAGAATACTAAAGGGTCAATCCTGTGTTCATATTTCACTTGAATTTGTCATTTGTAGTAATCCTCAGTTTTCTTCTGTAATCAATAAAATTATTAATTCTTTTTGGGGGACTTAAGTTTGTGGTTACATGATGGGAAAGCATCTAGTAAACCCAAGAAAAATAGTCTTGATAATCTGGCTGGAAAGGTTCCTTTAGGCAGCCAAGATATGGTAAAATTGTAAAAATTAGGCGAGTTAGGGCAAAATGTGTATATTTGGATTTAAATTAGTAGGATGGGAAGCAGAAGTAGGTGACCTTATGAATTCGAGGCTAGTCTTGTCTACATAGAAAGTTCCAGGATAGCCAGGGATATATAGAGGGTCTTTGTCTTAGGGTTTTACTGCTGTGAACAGATATCATGACCAAGGCAACTCTTACAAAGACCACATTTAATTGGAGCTGGCTTACAGGTTCAGAGGTTCAGTCCATTATCATCAAGGTGGGAGCATGGCAGCATCCAAGCAGGCATGGTACAGGAGCACAGAGTTCTACAGCTTCATCTGAAGGCTGCTAGCAGAAAACTGACTTCAGGGAGCTAGGATTATTATTAAAGCCCACACCCACAGTGACACGCCTATTCCAACAATGCCACACTTCCTAATAGTGCCACTTCCTGGCTGAAGTAATTACAAACCATCACAGACCTGGCCTCAAAAAAAAAAAAGATTACTATGGGTAATATTATTTTGTGTGTGCACCACAGCACACGTGTAGAGGTCAGAGGACAACTTTGTGGAGTTAGTTGTTTCCTTCCATCTCTACTTGGATTCTAGGGATTGAACTCACTCAAGTGCAAACTCATTTATCTAATAAGCTGTCTCATTGCCAATACACATAAAATATGTAACAGACCTTTAGCCGGGTGGGGTAGTGTTTACCTTTAATCCCAGCACTTGGGAGGCAGAGGCAGGTGGATTTCTGAGTTCAAGGCCAGCCTGGTCTATAGAGTGAGTTCTGGGACAGCCAGGACTACACAGAGAAACCCTGTCTCAAAAAACAAACCAAAAAAAAAAAAAAAACAGAAAAAGAAAAAGGAAAAACCAAACCAACCCAAAATACGGTATTCAGGACTGATAATATTATTGAGCATTGCCACTAGTTAAAAAGCACTGAAAAGAATGATCAACTATTAAAATATAGACAGAAAAAGTGTATCTAGGACTTGGGAACTGTGAAGAAAATTTAGTTTAGTTTTTTTTTTTATTTTAGAAACTGGGGAAGAATATTCAACTAGGAGATTGAACAAAGTGAAAAAAAAATCCAGTATGATAAGGAAAAAATTTCAAACAGTTCCCAAAATCTCTCCTACTCCACTTGAGAAATGAACAATTGGCTATACCATAGCTTTCTGAAGGCAGAAGCTACATTTTCTATGTATTGTTTTTATGTTTTATTTGTTTTTTGAGATAAGTTCTTACTATGTAGCCCTGGTTGTCCTCAAACTCAGAGATCTACCTACTTCTGCCTCCTGAGTGTTGAGATTAAAGGGCATGTGCCACACACACAGAAAACTCTTCTGTATATTCTTAAAGGATATGCAGTACTTCTGTGGTGCTTCAAATTCTTGAGAGTTGAAGGAAGCTCAAGGGTATTGTATAGCATTCTTCATATTAAGGAGATCTTCTTGGTTTTGCCAGATTATGATGAAGATGACTATGATGCTGATTGTGAAGATATTGATTGCAAATTGATGCCTCCTCCACCTCCACCTCCAGGACCAGTGAAGAAAGAGAAGGACCAAGATGGTATTACCACCGGTAAGTAAAAAAAGGTCTACTTCCTTTTAGAAATGAGTTTCTACTCATAAAACCAGGCTTTTGGCATGCTTAAGGGACTTTTAAAAGTTACCTGTTAGAGGGCTGGAGAGAAGATGGCTCAGTGGTTAAGAGCAATGGTTACTCTTCGAGAGGACCTGGGTTCAATTCCCAACACAGACATGACAGCTCATAACTATCTGTAACTCCAGTTCCAAAGAATGTAATGCCTTTAGACAGACATACATGCATGCAAAACACCATGCACATAAAATTAAATCCGAAAAAAAATGTTAGAAAAGGATTGCTTTTCTTTAAAAAATTATGTAAGTGTCAACTACTGATATTGAATAGATAGATATTTTCCTTATAAATGTTCAGTGACACACAGTTAAGAATTAGTAATTTAATTTAATGCTCCTTCCTCAACTTAGGTTGCCATTACAGTTACTGGAGTTTCCTAAGAACATTTTTTTTTTTGAGACAGGGTTTTACTATGAAGCACCTCATTGGACTTTTCTGTAATAGACCAGACTGCCTTTAAACCTGTAGCAATTCTTCTGTTTCTGCTTTCTTAGTGCTGCGATTACATGTATGAGCTACCATACTCTGTTCCTCCAAGACTTTCTGATGTAACTAATTTATATACTCATATTTAGAACTTACCTGTTCAAAAAAATACCCTTTTAATCTGGTCATGGTAGTGTATACCTATATTCCCAGTACTCTGAAGACAGGAGGATGACTGCTAGATAAAGCTAGCCAGAACTATGTAGCCAGGACTATGTCTTAAAAACAAACAACTTTCTGGAGTGGAACATCAGTCATATTCTGAGATTTTAAAGATTTATGAGGTCTTGAGTTGTTATCTCACCATTTGTAACCTTGTAACAGTAATAATCCTGCCATAGGTTAGATAAAGAATAGCATCTATCTTTTTTTTTTTTTTTGAAGTAGGGCTTCATTGTGTATCCCTGGCTAGCCTGGAACTGTATATAAACTGGGTTGGCCTTGAACTCATAGAGATTTGCTTGCCTCTGCTTGCTGAGTGCTGGGATCAAATGTATATGCCAACATGCCTTGCCCTGGTCTTTTATAATTTGAGACTATGTTAACCTTAATTTCTTCAGTTGGTACTTTGAGCCATTTTCTTTAGTTTTCAGGGTAAATATTATTTGACTTTGTGTATAGAATTTATTTTTTATTATTCTGTGGGCTTTAACAATTCTCCATCTTATAGATCTCTGAACTGAACAGAACAGGGCCTGATTAATATGAAGCATTAATATAATTTTGTTATTAATCACAATATTGGGCACAGTATTGGTTATTTATGGAAAGTGGTAAATGTAGTAATAGTGTTTATTTTCTCTCATCACAACCCTAGGGTACCAGGTCCAAGGTGAGTTTGGGTATGGTGGGAAATAATAAGTTGGATGAGTTTTCTGGCCTGCATACTAGTAGCCTGGGTGCTTGGGAATATATCTCCTGCCACAGAACCATGCATATTAGCTTAGAAGGGGGTGCCAGCTGAATTTGAGGAAATGTGTTTATAGTTACATGCCAAAGGGGTTTCTTTTCCTTGTTGCAGTGTCTGAAGATGGAGAAGGCATCATCTTGCCCTCCATCATTGCCCCTTCCTCTTTGGCCTCAGAGAAAGTGGACTTCAGTAGTTCCTCTGACTCAGAATCTGAGATGGGACCTCAGGAAGCAACACAGTCAGAATCTAAGGATGGAAAGCTGACTCTACCATTGGCTGGGATTATGCAGCATGATGCCACCAAGCTGTTGCCAAGTGTCACAGAACTTTTTCCAGAATTTAGGCCTGGAAAGGTACTTTGTACTGATAATATCCATAATGAAAACTGACTTTTTTCTAGATTTCAAGTTCTGTTGTTATAATACTAAGTATACAGTTGTGGGTCATGAGACTTACCACTGACATGAATATGTCACGAGTCTTAATGGTGTTCTTATTCATTGGCAGATAATTGTTTAATAGAAACTTTTTATGCTGTATTAGATCATTTTTTGAAATTGTCTATAGAAAATGTGCTGTCCTGTTGCCAAGTGTGGTTATGCATGCCTTTAACCCCAGTACTTGAGAGACAGAGGCAGGAGGGTCTCAGTGAGTTTTAGGCCAGATTGGTCTACATAGTGAGTTCCAGGACAGCCAGGGCTTTGTAGGGAGACCTACCTCAAACCATATCAGCAACAAAATTGTCCTGTTGGTCTCCGGTGAGATGGTTCATTGGGTAGAGGCACTTGCATGCATGCCTGAGGATCCTAGTTTGCTCTGCAGATCCCACAAATTGGTCAGAGAGAATCAACTCCTGAGACTTGTCCTCTGACTTCCACCTACATATTATGGCATGTACACCTGCATACACATACATAAACACATGGCTAAATAAAATAAATTTCCTGTTAGAATAAAAAGTAAACCAAGTATCTTAGTTATTGTTCTATTGCTATAAAGAGACACCATGACTAATGCAACTTATAAAGGAAGGCATTTAATTGGATCCTTGCTTACAGTTTCAGAGGGTTAATCAGTCCATGAACATTATGGCAGGGAACACAGTGGGAGGCATGGTACCTAAGCAGTAGCTGAATGGAAGCTTATATCAGGATCTGCAGGCAGAGAGAGAGAGTGAGACTGAGTCTTTTGAAACTCAAAGCCCACCCCCCAGTTACACACCTTCTCCAGTAAAGTTATACCTCTTGATCCTTCTCAAACAGTTCTGTTTAACTGGGAACACAATATTCAAATATATGAGTTTATGGATCAAACCTAGTAGTATAGGCCTTTGACCCCAGTTACTAGGGAGGCTAAGGCAGGGAGAATCATAAGTTCAAGGCTTCCTGGGCTTCAGAGTGAGTTCAAGAGTAACCTGGGCAGCTTAGTGAGACCTAGACTGAAGAATCTAAAGACTAGCCAGGGTATAGTGCTTGCCTTTAAACCCAAGAGGCAAGTGGGTCTCTTGAGTTTGAGGCCAGCCTTTTCTACATAGACAGTTCCAGGCTACACCTACATTGTGAGATCCTGTCTCAGAAAACAAAAGTAAAACAAAACTAAGGATTGGGAATGTAGCTCAGTGATATAGTACAAGTCCCCAGGTTCAAATCTCAGTACCACACCAAAAAGAAGAAAGAAGAAATAATTGACCTATTCAGGGATAATACTTTTGTGGTCCGAACTTAGCATATCTTCATTTCCCCCCTGCAATTGAATAGGTCACTTGAGAGTTTTTTCAGCTACTGAATCTCTGACATAATACTATGTTCTGTGTTCTAGGTGTTACGCTTTTTACGGCTTTTTGGACCAGGGAAGAATGTCCCATCTGTTTGGAGGAGTGCTCGGAGAAAGAGGAAAAAGAAGCACCGTGAACTTATACAGGAAGAGCAGGTCCAGGAAGAGGAGTGCTCAGTAGAATTAGAAGTCAACCAGAAATCTCTGTGGAACTATGACTATGCTCCACCACCACTTCCAGAGCAGTGTCTTTCTGATGATGAAGTAGGCAAAGTAGATATAAGATTAAAGTCTACAAGGGGGCATGTAGAAAGCTTTCTAGCTTATGTCAAAGTTATAACTAACACTTGAGCATTAAGAGTTCTTTTTAATTATCAATGACTAATAATGAACTAAATCCAATAGTCTCACTTTTCCTGTTGTAACAGAAAAATATTTGGTGAGGCAAGGCAGGGTAGATGGTGGTACTTTGCTAAATATAAAGCTGCTACTCACAGACAGAGCATGTCATGTTATATAAAAAATTTCTGTTTAGGAATCATGTAAAAATTTCTGTTTAGGAATCATCCTTGTGGTTCCTCTAAGTCACCTTATAATTGTTAATTCTCTGTAGGCTTAGAACTTGGAATAGGGAACCCCCCACCTCTACATCTCTGATTTTGTTACAGATCACAATGATGGCTCCTGTGGAGTCTAAGTTTTCCCAGTCAACTGGAGACACAGACAAAGTAATGGATACCAAACCAAGAGTGGCCGAATGGCGTTATGGACCTGCCCGCCTGTGGTATGATATGCTAGGTGTTCCTGAAGATGGCAGTGGGTTTGATTATGGCTTCAAAATGAGGAAGACTGAACATGAACCTACAATAAAATGCAACATAATGAAGGTAAGCAACTCTGGAATATGAGAGAGGAGTCATCAGTGTGCTTAGGGTTCTATCATTTTTACTACTCAGCTGGGGATTTCTTGCATAGAATCTTTAGTAGGAGATTTGCATAATAGGGCCTCCTATAACTAGGGCCTATTCTAATGGTTCTGTTTTTGAAATTTGTGCCATTGGAGTGGGAGAGTAGGCAGATTTTTTTTCTTTATCAGATAATTTGCACAAGTAAAACATCACTTTTTTTCTGAGCTGGAGAGTGATTCCATGGTCTTGCACATGCTGGAGAAGCACTCTTATCACTGAGCTACTTTCCCTTTACACTGAGCTATATTGGCTTTTGAAACAGAGTCACACTTTGTATCCTGGGCTGACCTCAAACTTGGAATTCTCCTTTCAGTCTCCCAAGTGCTAGCTAGGATTGCAGATATTTGACACTAAGCTTGGCAAAGCACCACTTCATGAATCATTTAGAATCTGTATTGGGAACTTTGATCAGTGAGTGGTTGATTTATTATTCTTTCTACTTATACAGAAATTAAGGAAACTTGAGGAAAACAATAGCGCTGATCTTCTGGCAGATGAAAACTTCCTAATGGTGACACAACTGCATTGGGAAGATGATATCATCTGGGACGGGGAAGATGTTAAACACAAAGGAACAAAACCTCAGCGTGCAAGTTTGGCAGGCTGGCTTCCTTCCAGTATGACTAGGAATGCCATGGCCTACAATGTTCAGCAAGGTGTGCTTCTATGCCAGTAATATCTGACACACAGGCTTTCATCTCAGTCATTTTAAGTAATTCTACTTGTAGTCTTTTAAGCTTCTGAGGGACAGTGAAATGCTTCAAATCTAATCTCTGATCTGATTTTTTTGTCATTTTTTGTTCATAAAGATACTTTATATTTCTCATGTTATTTTTTTTTTTCTCAACCAGGTTAAAATAAAGAATATTGTGCTTAGCCATGCAGTGGTGGTGCCCGCCTCTGATCCCAGCACTTGGGAGACAGAAGCAGGCTGATCTCTATGAGTTTGAGGTCAGCCTAACCTACAGAATGAGTTCTGGGACAGCCAGGGCTACAGAGAGACCCTCTATCAAAAAACCAACCAAACAAACAAAACAAAACACACATATACAAAACTGTGCTTAACAGCATGAAAACAGTGTCAAAAAGGAAAATTCTGATATCCTAAAGATTATCAATTATTAACTTTTTGATATTTTGTTTTCTGCAAGAATATGGTTAAATTTAATTAATGTTGAGACAGGGTCCTTCTCTGTACCTGAAACTAACCTGGAGCTCAGCTCTTTAGCTCAGGTTGTCCTTAAACTCACCATCTTCCTTTTTTTTTCTTTTTTTTCTTTTTTTTACTCACCATCTTCCTAATTCAGACTTCGTAAGTACTACAATACAGGTGTTTGTTGCCATGCTGTTTGAGTTCAGTGTTACAATGCTGGTTTTGTTTTGTTTGTTTGTTTATTTGTTTGTTTTACGATAGGGTTTCTATGTAGAGTGAGCTGGCCTCAAACTCACAAAGATCCTGAGTCTGTCTCCTGAGTGCTATGTTGGCAGTGTTTTCGGGAGATAGAGTCTTGTCTATCTTGTATCTCAGGTTGGCATCAGCTTTACTGCAATCTTCCTACCTTTGTCTCACAAGTGCTGCGATTACATGTGTAAACTATTACACCCTTCTATTCTGTGGTTTTCGCTTGCTTTTGTTTGTTTGTTTGTTTTTGTTTTTGAGACAAGTTCTCACTGTATAGTCCTGGCTGTCTATAGTCCAGGCTAGCCTGAAACTTAGAGATCTGCCTGCCACTGCCTCTCAAGTGCTGGAATTAAAGATATTTGCTACTACACCTTGTTAATTTTCTCTTAAAATGTAATTTTATATGTAAGTTTTCAAAGTTGTTTATATAAATGTTAGTGACAGGAAATATTTATGAATTTTTAGAAGAAAAATGGTTTTAAGCATTTCCATCTTACCTGTTTATGTAATAGAGCTATCAGTCAAACTTGAAAGCACTTTTAAACAAGTCCTTGGCAATCTCTAAATTATTCTTGGTGATCTTGATAAGCTTTTGACTAACACTGAGGTCAGAGGGGCATATTTAAAAGTCACCTTGATTTATTGGATTTTTTTTGAGACAGGATTTCACTCTGTATCCCTTGCTGGCCTAGTACTTGCCATGTATGTAGTCCAAGCTTGCCTTGAACTCGAAGTAATCCTTCTAACTTAGCCTCTTGAGTACTGTGATTGAGCCAGTAAATACCAGGACATATTTAAAATGGAAAGAAAAGGAGATATGAAACAACATATTTGGTATTCCATTTGTAAAAATGAAAAACATAGACCCATATAAACAAAAATTTGACAAAAATATATTAAAGTATCTGCAGTGGTTATTTTAGTTTCTTTAGTTTTCTTTACACCATTCTGTATAATCCACATTTTCTTAGTTACTCTGGATTCATTTTATAATTCAGACAACATACCACCACCACCACCACCCTTCCATTTATTTTTTTTTAATCCAGTCTTACTATATATTACTCAGGTTGTCTTTGGACTTAGTATCCTCAGCCTGTTGAATGCTGGGATTATACATATACATTACCATACCCAACTCAAAAAAGTCTTCATTTTGTTTTTGTGTTTTCAAGACAGGGTTTCTCTGTGTAGCCATGGCTGTCTTTGAACTTTCTGTAAATGAGACTGGCCTCAAACTCAGAGGCCAGTATATCTCACTTTGACAAAAGCCATTGCTAACAAAATGTTCATTGCAGTACTGTTTATAATAGTTAAAACTTAAAACAGTCTACTTACTAAGGGACTAGCTAAATAATTACGCTTCTTGAGTTCTGGGATTAAAAGTGTGTGCCACCACCACCTGGCTTATAATGCCTTAATTTTAAAAATCTTTTGAAAAGGTTTTTCTCTTCAGTTTTAGTTAAATACTTTTTTGGTTGCATAGTTTTTCTTTTAAATTTTTGTTTCTTGAGCCAAAGTCTTGCTGTACATCTCTGGCTGGCCTCTTTGTATCTCTGCTTCCCAAGTTCTAGGATTAAAGGAGAGTGCTACCTTATTCAACTCAGTAACATAGTGTTTTGATACAAGATCTTGGTGTGTAGCCATCTAGTCAGGCCTTGGGCTCACAATCCTCTCTGTCTCCTGAATGCATAGTATTCTTAATTATTCCTATTTTGTGCATAATATCCTTAGAAGCATGTTTTGCTTACCGATAAATGCTTTATTTGCTAATATAATTTAATATCAATATTGATCACCATAATTTTTAAAAGATTTATTTATTTTGCGTATATGAGTACACTGTAGTTTTCTTCAGACACACCAGAGAGGATGTCAGACCACATTATAGATGGTTACAGTTGTAAGCTACCATGTGGGTGCCGGGAATTGAACCTGGGTCCTCTGGAAAAGCAACCAGTGCTCTTAACTGCTGAGCCATCCTTCCAGCCCCTCACCATAATTATTTAGCTAGTCCCTTAGTAAGTAGACTGTTTTAAGTTTTAACTATTATAAACAGTACTGCAATGAACATTTTGTTAGCAATGGCTTTTGTCAAAGTGAGATATACATGATATCTAGTAGGTTTCGTTTGTTGAATAGTTATATGAGTACCTGCACTAATTTTTTTTTTCTTTTTCTGTTTGCTAGGATCATTACTAAATGGAACATTAATGTTTTATTTGTTACTGTTTTCTTTCTTGTTTTGGTCAGGTTTTACAGCTACATTGGATGATGATAAACCTTGGTACTCCATTTTCCCCATTGATAATGAAGATCTGGTATATGGACGTTGGGAGGACAATATCATTTGGGATGCTCAGAACATGCCTAGAATTTTGGAGCCTCCTGTTTTGACACTTGATCCCAATGATGAGAATTTGATTTTGGGTATGTTGATGGCAGAAGCCAATGTTCTTTATCTTTGACATCTTATTATTAATGTCAAAGGGCAAGAGAATATAAAAATGTTAGAGAAGGCAAAAACTAGAAACTTTTAGGTGATGCTTTTTTAAAAGCAGAGTTGTAGCTGCCAGTTTTTAGTGTTTGACTACTGTTTAGGAAAAACATGTAGGAATGTTTAAAATTATATCTTCAAGACATCATTAGATATGGCCTGGGCGGTGGTGGTCGACACCTTGGGAGGCAGAGGCAGGCAGATCCCTGAGTTTGAGGCTAACCTGGTCTACAGAGTTTCAGGACAGCCAGGAGTACACAGGAGCTCTTGAAACAAACAAACAAAAGATATCAGATGTAGTCTAGCTGGAGAGAATTACCAACTAAAAGTAGTCTGGAAGTGGAGTGAGAGATCTGTTTAGAAACTCCAAAAATATCAGTGGAAAGGTGAATTTTAGCTGGACCTGGTAGCATGGATCCCAGCTACTTAGGTGGCCAAGGCAAGAAGACTATAAATTCAAGGCCTGTCTAGGCTACAGAGTGTATTCCAGGACAGCTTTTGCAATTTAGTGATATTGTATCTAAAGATAATGTAAAAAGAGGTCAGAGGGCTGAGATGTAGCTCAGTGGTATAATCCTTACCTAGCCTGTGTAAGACCTTAGTTTCAATCCTTAGTATTGTCTAGAGGGTTGGGGAAGAGGGTAGGAGAAAGGGAAGAAGAAGAGGAGAAAACAGAGGAAAGAACGAAATTGAACATTTAGGGATAGCAATTCTGAAGTCATTTCTTGTCGTATCCTCAGAGATCCCTGATGAGAAGGAAGAAGCTACTTCCAATTCTCCTTCAAAGGAGAGTAAGAAGGAATCATCTCTGAAGAAGAGTCGAATTCTCTTAGGAAAAACAGGAGTCATCAAGGAAGAACCACAGCAGGTTTGTGAAAAGAAAAGGACTTGGTATTTTAGAAGAACAAAGAAAGGTATTAGGAAAGTGTAATCTGACCAATACCTATTTGATCTATCATTAGAACATGTCTCAGCCAGAAGTGAAAGATCCATGGAATCTCTCCAATGATGAGTATTACTATCCCAAGCAACAGGGTCTCCGAGGTACTTTTGGAGGGAATATTATCCAGGTACAAATAACTGCTTTGTTTTGACAGAGGGTATGGGCAAAGATTGCCTGGGAAGGAGTTACTATTTACTTTTAACTCTTCTGTTTCCTGTTTAGCACTCAATTCCAGCTGTAGAATTACGGCAGCCCTTCTTTCCCACCCACATGGGACCCATCAAACTCCGGCAGTTCCATCGCCCACCACTAAAAAAGTACTCCTTTGGGGCACTATCTCAGCCAGGTCCACACTCAGTCCAACCTTTGCTGAAGCACATCAAAAAGAAGGCAAAGGTATGAGTGAATCTTGGTTAGAAAAAAGTTCTGTAAGATAATTGGGGTACAAACTGGGGCGTGTTATACTGGATATTAGATTGTATTAGGGAATTATTTATTTTCTCAGATATGATACAGTTTTATTTTGGTTACTCAGAAGAATGTCCTTATTCTTAGAAGATTTTTTTTTTTTTAGGAGCTGAGAATTGAAATCAGGGCCTTGAGCTTGCTAGGCAAGTGCTCTACTACTGAGCTAAATTTCTAACCTCTAGAAGAGTTATTTGAATATACCTAAGGCTAAAATATTGCAGCTTTCAAAACTGGTTTACTAAAATCTGTAGAAAACTTACAGATTAAATAGGGAAAAATGCTTAAATAGAGAAAAGGTGTTCAGAATACTATTCTTTCAATTTTAGAGGTATTTTTGAAAGTTTTCACAATGAAATTGAAAAAAATAACATGTGAAAAAGTTTTGGTATTATCTCAGATTGGATGATATCAGTGTGTATAGTTTATCTTCCTGTTGAGAATAGGCTATATTGTCTTCATTTTGGACAGATGAGAGAACAAGAGAGGCAAGCCTCGGGTGGTGGAGAGATGTTTTTTATGCGCACACCTCAGGACCTCACAGGCAAAGATGGAGATCTTATTCTTGCTGAATACAGTGAGGAAAATGGACCATTAATGATGCAAGTTGGCATGGCAACCAAAATAAAAAACTACTATAAACGGGTGAGAGTGTACTCAAATGATTTTTATAGCTTTTTATATGTGTATATTTTTTAAATACTTATTTTATGTGTATGAATGTTTTGCTGCATGTATATATGTATGCACACCACATACATGTGCCTGAGGAGGCCAGAAGAGTATGTCAGATCCCCTGGAATTGGAAGTATAGATGGTTGTAATCCACCATATGAGCATTAAGAACCAAACCTGGGTCCTCTGTAGAAACAAATGTTCTTAACCATGGAGCCATCTCTCCAGGCCCTGAAATTTTTGTTATCACTATAACTCTAATTAGGTATGTAGTGATAATCTGTGAACATGTATTTTACTATATATATTTCTTGGGAGAAAAGAGTGGTATCTCTTGTTAATAGCAAATGCTATGCTTATGGAAGATTACATGTATTTTTATTGGTTTTATTCTGAGTCTGAATTTGCTATATTTCTTCTAGAAACCTGGAAAAGATCCTGGAGCCCCAGATTGCAAATATGGAGAAACTGTTTATTGTCATACATCACCTTTCCTGGGTTCTCTTCATCCTGGCCAGTTATTACAGGTGAAGAACTCTTTTCTGTCTTTATTCTTTTCTAAGGAAATTGACAGATAAGGAGCAAGTTTGCCCAGAAAGGAACAATTTTGGTTGATTTTGGTGTTTATGTATTAGCTATAAGGTAGTATAATGCAAATCCACTGGGAGTAATTGTAGGTGTGGTGATGCACACCATTAATCTCAGCACTTGGGGGTAGAATTTGAGACCAGCTTGGTCTACATATTGAGTTCTAGGTCACCCAGAGCTATGTAGTAAGACCCTATCTCAAAAAAAGAGAGAGGAATTTGGAGAAATGGCCCAGCAGCAAAAACATTGGCTGTTTTTCTAAAGGACTGAATTTGATTTCTCAGCACCTAAATGGCAGCTCACAAACATCTGTAACTCTAGTTTCAGGGGATCTGAACCCTTTTCTAGTATCCTTGAGCACTTTATCCATGTGGATACATAGACATAGATAAAGGGAAACACTCATTCATATTTTAAAAAATAAAAAAGGAAGAATTAAAAATAAAATCTTAGTATAATTCACTGGATATGGAGGGCAGGAGGATCTGTAGTTCAGTGTTACCCTTAGCTATGTAGCAAGTTTCCATCCAGTTCGGTAAATAGCAAACTGTCTCAAAAACCAAAGCCAGCAAAACAAAAAGATTAGTATAATTTAAAATTTAAGGCAAGATACTTCCTTGAAAATAATTCTCTATGTTATTTTTAGATCTTTAGTATAAATGTAGAAGAGTGGGGTTGATTATTGTTTGATTTGTGGAGGGTGTGTGTGTGTGTGTGTGTGTGTGTTTTGAGCTAGGATCTTACTTTAT